CTCATGGTCCGGACGAGGCATATCAGAGACGTGATCGCGCTCACGATTAGGGGCCTAGCGCAGAGATACAACAGCACTCCACTAAATCTACTTCTCAAGATGTAAAGCCATGGGAGGCAGCAGCACTAAAGGTTTGTGACTAGAGAGAAGAGAGGAGAGGTTTTACAAATATTTTGCTTGGTCTACTAGCTAGACTGTAATTAAGATTTGATGGAGGTGGAGAAACCAGGAGGGCTGAAAACTAGCATTTGTATATGTAAAGGTGATGAGATGATAAACTTTGCGTTAAGATTTCTTTCTTTACCTTCCAGATGGTAATAAAGATGATAACAGAGATCTCTGTCACTTGAGAGTTAAAGACCTGGTGTCCAAAGTTTGGCTGACGCTCACAGCCTGCCTTCTCCAGTCCATGCGAAGTATAAGAATGAGGTAGAGCACGAGCTGGAGGAAGAATCCCACTGTTGTCCCAGCCAAGAGCCCCTGAGATTTAACGCAAGACAATTCATAGTTACTACACGAGAAAGCGATAGAAGCGCCATCAAACCTTGGTTTTAAACTTGAAGGTGAATCCCAAAAGCACTCCCACTGGAAGGCCGCAGAGGTAAAAGGCTGCCAAGTTGATGATAGCGCCCAGGTTTTGGCGACCGCATCCACGCACCACACCTGTACAGGCAACGACAAGTCTAGTCTGCCAGTAAAAAAAAGGGAGAAAATAAAGGAGGGAATGCTTTTGTTTCCCCACCTTGAAGTACGCACTGCGTGCCATCAATGAGTATCCAGAGTGCCAGAAACGGAGTGATGGAAGTGAGGTTGTCCACAACTTCCGACTCGTTTGTGAAGACCCACCCCCAGCTCTTGTGAACCATGAGCAGGAACGCTGCCGCGATGAAGACTTCGGCGGTGGCGAGCACGAGGACGACGAACACCGCCAGCTTTGCTGCGGAGGGGTTCCTTGCTCCCAGCTCGTTGGAAACACGGATGCTGCAAGGATAATACCATGACCATGTCATGTAGCACTCACTGAAGTAGACTTACGTACCTTACGCCTAAGCTCAGTCCAAGAGTGATCATGTAGTTGAACGTCGCCATGGAGTTGCTGCAGGAATCAATGCACATCTGAGAATGGCTGTGTATCGGACGGTCGCCGTTTACCTCACCATATTGATAGTGTTGAGACCTCTATCTGTGGATTTGGAAGAAGCCCAGCCAAGAGGACCAGCATCTCAAAAGTCCAGTATTCCAAGCTGTAAGAAATGATACAGTGTTAACTCGAGTGCAAGAGAAAGGAAAAATTGCCATACCAAACCATGAAAGCCGAGACCAGTGAAAGCTTGAGGAAGTGATTCACGTTTGTGCACACACAAGTGGACAAGCCTCTCCAAGTGTGCTTGCAGACCTTGCTACAGCAGACGTACAGCGCTAGTAGAGCGGCCTTTATCCAGAAAGAAATGCTGGTGGAGATGGCCACACTGTGAAACCCGACGTGGAACTTGTGTATGAATAACCACGACAGCAGGATGTGAGCACCGAACGAAACCGCGGAGAAAATAGCCGAAGGAATGACCACACCTTGTGTCTGTAAGAACTTGAGCAGAGGCTGGACAAACGCGTTGGCAAAGAGGCTGGGAATCAGCCACACGATGAAATCCTTGGCTTTAGCAGACATGGCAGGATCCTGTCCCAGGAGCAGCAAAATCCTTCTAGTGAAAATGAAGAGGGTCGACAACGGTATGCAGAGGATGATCGAGAGTGCCACAGCCTGTTGGAGATAAATGCCTAGCATGTGATATGCCTTGGCTCCGTAAGCTTGCCCGCACAGTGTCTCGAGCGCTCCAGCCATTCCCATCTGCACGTACCTGAAGTTTGCATCAGAGCTTTTAAGTTCGAGGAACACCAGATGTATAAAACAGTGGAAAAAC